TTTCCAGGCGGGGCACATGTCTGGGTTGTGGGCCAGGTTCCCAGTAGGGGGCGCAAAAGAGGCAACCACACACTGATGTTTCTGACTCTCTCTTTCTCCCTCCCTTCCCCATCTCTAAAAATAAATAAATTAATTAAAAAAAGATTTCCATAGTTCACAGTATTAATTAAAAAAAGAAAAATAACAGATCCACAGTAATAACTACAAAAGTTCAGTACTACAAAATAATACAGCAATGGGGAGCCACATATAATTTCCTCACATTTCACTGAGAAGAACCAAGAGAGCGAAAGAACAAAGTCCCCCTTGGGACCCTCACTTAAGGTGACACACCCATTATCTAAACTGGCACTATTTTATGAGACAGAACACGTTTCTTTGAAATGATTTAGTTGAATACAAGTCTCCCTTCTGGAGTCTAAAGTTGTACACGTGATTAATTCTGAGGCGTCTCTGAAGTACAAATATATTACCACATATACATAACAATATAAAATCATCTCTGATAAACAGAGAGAACAAAGCTACCATCTCAGAAGAAGTAGGATCTGATGAACCTAAGACTTCACTATAGCAGTCAGACTGGCTCCACCCCTCTGCCTTTGATGTCTGTAGGTTGCTTGGTAACTTAGGGACCCAGCAACCAAATGAATGGCTTTGCATTTTTGAAGGTGACCGGCCTTTAATGAACTAAAAGAGAGGCAGAGTGAAGGTTAGGAATGACCACAGCTTGAGGACTCTGTTCTAGCTGATTGGTCCTCCAGCCATCAGAGAAGAAGGGATGCTGACAGAGGCATGAGAAGGAACCACTGCTTCCCCCTCCCATGGGCTAGAGCATCCTGCCCTCTTCCAGTGGATGCGGGCCTTCACGTAGCCTTGCAGACTACACAGGCCTCCTGGAACTTGAAACCGGCATCAGAGGATCAAAGCTTCCCAGCCTGTCCTCTGGAGATAAGACAATATGTTTGGAAGGAGAATTTCAAACATTCCACACAATCTACTTCTGTGTAACCAACTCTCCCTGAGGGAAAAAGAAAAATCTGCATGTGGTGTGTACACACAATACAGAGGAGAGAACTGCATGGAACTGTAGATACTTCAGTGGTAACTCTAGTTGAACTGGTATTTTAAAGGAAGTTGGTTCAGTAGGAGTCACGCAGACTCGCTCCCAGACCCCTGGGGATCTTGGGAAAGTCATTCTGACTCAGTGGACCTCCGTGTTCCCGATGACGGGACTGGACCGGATGCAGGACACCTGAGAGGTATTCCCAGCCTGGTGCCATCATCTCCCCATTCACTAACATAGCCTCACTTTTATCTCTTTAACATAGTGAAGTTCTGATAAACAAAAACAAACAAACAAAAAAAAAACCCAAAAGTGAAATGATTTTAAAGGTCTCTGGTGACTACATCATTCCTAGGTCAAAAAAACTTGCTTAAGAGTTATCTTCATTATATACTTGTGATAAAACTAGGGAAAAAGTTAAAACTACCTATAATCTCTGGTCCTGTTTTCCTACCTAAGTATTTTTTAATACCTAGGAATGTGCTGGCTAAAATATTTTCAAAAATACTTGCACAACTCCAGGGGGCACTCTTCCTACCAAAGTCAATGCCACTGCTGTCCCCTGGACCATGGCACTCAGTGGCCCTGAGGAAGTTGCCGTTAGACAAGAGTACGCCTATGTTTGAATCTCATCTCTGCCAGCTATGTGACCCTTGGCGAGCTATTTAATAATCTCTCTGATCCTATTTCCTTCTCTGCAAAATGGAGATAATACATTGTATTTCCAAAGGCTGCTGTAAAAGCTAAACGAGATAACTTGCAAAGACCCTGGTGGAGGGCAGCAAACCAATAGCAATATTCGTTCTCTAAAATCACAAAAACAACCATGTTGCACAGTGCACAACACACTGTGTGTAGGACTACGAGAAGAGACCAAAAGGCACTGTGGGTCCGGCAACAGTTCCCATCTAAAATGAAGGCCTGAAGATGCAGCAGGTAATCCAAAGTTAGAGGACTCAGAATGGAGTGACCTGAGAACCACTCGATTTTTTAGTGACTGTGGTAACTGGGAGAAAGGAAGACTAATTAGGATGCTAATGTATTAGGGTGTGTTGGTCCAAGTGTTATCAAGGACAAGCAACTGTTTAAACAAGACAGGCTGCACTCGTTAAGGACACGCATGCTGCCAACAGATGACAACGTGCCTAATTCCAAATTCTTGCCTTCCGCTGGAATCCAGGATCAAGGGCACTCAACATCTAACTGCACTAAAGCTTTTGATGCTTAAATTCAAAAGTGATTAACACACATAACAAAGCTATACTTTAGTAATTACAGATTCTGAACATGAGAGAACTGGAGGGGATTTTAGACACTGTCTAGCCTGACTTCACATGCTACACTTGAGAAAACTGAGGTCTGATGAAGTTGATAATTACACCTGTGATCACCGAGGGCAGAGCAGATTCTGGCACTTGGTCTCATTAACTTACTGTCTTAATGCAGGAAATCAATCTTTAGATTTACTAAATACACAAAGCAACAACTGAACACTGGACACACGGATTCCTTTCTGAACTCTGCATAATTTGGGGCTCACAGGGCACTGGAAGACAGCCGAAGGGCTGGGTCAATGGCTGATAGAAGCGGCTGGCGGGACTGGGTGGGAAGGCCTGAGGATACTCAAGAAGGTACACGAAGAACACACAGAAAGGCTGTGTGGATCTGCAGCCTGGGATCGGGTGAGGGCAAGTAGGGCCCATACAGAGACCAGACATAGAACTATTCTCTACATCCAGGAGGTAGCACAGTGACTACCACAGAGTAGGTACTAAGTACTTATTTGATATCGTACAATTGGATGATGAGTCAAGAATGAATAAAATAATGAAAGAACCTGTTGTGAGAGGAGAAATGAGAACTTCAGACAACAGAGAAGAGGAACTGCCTAGTGCCATCCCTTAGGGGAAGGGAAGAACCATCAAAATGGTCCCTAACCTTGGCAGGAAGCAGGTGGCTCATTTCCTTCCCAAGGGCAGGGGAGTGAGCCTGTTGCCCTCTGGCTTCCACCTGACGTTTCCATCCTGAGGAAATGAGGAAGTTCCCATGGCCCCTCTGCGCTCGGGGCAGCATGCAGAGAAGTGTCTGTCTCTAAGGACAACAGAGAAACTTCAAATCCATAATGTCACATTAGTTTTACTTTTATTATTATTATTATTATTATTATTATTATTATTATTATTTTGTTTCTCAGAGTAAGGCAGGTTTGTTTTGTCACGGGGTAGTGTACATCACTTAAAGGTCTTGGGTTCAATTTAGAAGAGGGGCTATACTTCCTTTTATGTGTATGTTTGTGTTTCTGGTAACTTAAAGGGTGGTTTAAGAATAAAGATATAATTCACTTTTTTAGTACATAATAATCTTATCAGCAATAAATGTTCTTTATGTCTGTGCATTATTATGTGTGCATCTGTGTATGTATGTATGCATATATTATGTACATACATATTTGATGCATGCACACAGAGGAATGTATGTCATCAAAGAGGTCATCAAAATGTCGCTGTGGGCTACCTCAGGGTAGTGAGATTTCAACCGATTTAAAACATAAACCTTCCCAAACCCTATCCCTATCCCTAACTGTCACAATTAGTTTTAGAGGAGACCCTACGATTAAGTGCTGGCCAGGCAAGCTAGCGAGCACACTGACCCGGGCGGGGAGGGTGCTGCCCAGCAGGCACTGTCCGTGCCCCTGCGGCCTTCTGCGGGCCTCAGCCTGGTGTGCTCTGACCTCCTGCCAAGTCTGCCAAGGCTGGACTTTCAACACAGGATTCATTCAATGAGCACTGATGCCGCCGATGTTTTCTAAAGAGGAAGGAGTTAGTGTTGGATGGTCCCGTTCCTTTTAATGTCTGTGTCTAACTTCTGGCCACTTTGGAGTCAAGGGACACCATTCATCACCTCTGATATATTTTTCTAGGGCTCCGCAGAGAAATTGTAAGACAACTGTATGTCAATGCCCAAGAAAGGCTGACCGAGGATCTTATGATATAAGCCAGTTCCTGTTCAGGAGAAACACTAACACTTCAGTGAATAAGAAGAACTGGACAGTGTGTCCTCTACACGACATCTGGCAGACTAATGACAAAATGACCACGAGTATATCAGTTACTGGGACAGAATGATGGAGTTCTGTCCTACGTTCCTATGAAGATAGATACAGGCCAAAGAACATACGTAATGTCTCTAATGTGACTCTCATTTGACCCTTGATGAAGATACATTCAGTGAATTACAAAACAGCTCTTTCAGGAGATGGGTCAGTGAAAAGACCAACAGTGTAAACACTGTGCTCCAACGCACAGAGTGACTGGCAACGCTTGTTTATTTTTAGCACAGCTTCAATTCCCTAAAAAGAAATACCACCTAAAAGAAATGTGTTAAGCACCCACTTAAATGTTTCTCATTAAGTTGCCAATTCTGGCACTTGGCCCTTAAGGCTGGTTTACGGGCGCTCATCCTGACTCGGCTCTGCACACCATTCAAGAAATAAAAGCTATCTGAAAGAAAGAGATGACATCTGTAAGAACTTTTATATTGATATTTGTAAAATATCTTGAGAACTAACAGGAAAAAGCAACCCAGAAAACAGCATTCTGCAACAAAATTATAGAAATGGGAGTAAAGAAACCAAACTGAAAGGCTTTTCTAATAGAGCAACAGGTTTATTCTTATAGCACAAACAATCGCAGCCAAGTGGCTCATTCTTCACATGAGACCAGATTGTGGGTAAGTGTGAAAACACACCACTGTGTAAAAACACACCACTGTGTGCAGACTGGGCATACAATGAACCCACCGAATGTGGTTCTCATGAAGACTAGTACCTTGCGTTTTTTCTCTTTTTGCCTTTATGTCTCACAACACCTAACTTTTTATGTATAAGTGAGTCTAAGGAAACAGGATGACCTAAGTCATACAAATGCCTACTTACCTCCCATGATTTTGGACTGGCAGTTAATAAACTCCGGCTTCCTGTCTGTGAGGTACCTCTGGCAGGTGTGGTGGAGGATCTGGAAGAAGGTGCATTTTTCTGAGGCTGTGCTGGCTACCCACTGGTCAAAAGCATTTTCAAACAACAAATCAAACTCTGCAGAATCCTGGAAAAAAACAGTGAAATAACTATTGATCTCAATGTATAAAAACTGTTGCTTCTACCTTATGCCCAATAAAAGACTCATAAAGGTGAACACATCTTTCTAAACTTTGATCCTAAACATAAGGCTCACCTTTATTAGCATCCAGGTGCGTGGAGAATCCACCTTTCTGTTTATCGAGCAAACCCCAGGTCTTGCAGTATTAACAGATGTCCGTAGGAAGCTAATATCATTGAGGTCCCTATAGCCTACCACACATTGACTTGTTTCAGAATTCAGACTGCACATCACCCTCCCAATTACTTGGAACATAATTCCTTCAGCGATAAACCATATTAATCTTGCCCCTAACCTTTGACAGGTAAAGACCCCCCCTCATTATTTTAGTATACAGTTACAATTTACATGCAAAAGAGGGGAATGTATTTTGAATAAATCACTCTACCACAAGATATTTCTCATATTAAATCCAATAGACTCCTAAACTTTAAAGTGCTATTTATTTATTTAAGTAAATAAACCTCATCATTGGTGGCATGAGGAGATAAATAAAGCTTGGGTAAGCTTTCATACTGTGATTTTTCATACTGATAACCACGAACATGCAAACATGGTAACTGAGCTCTGGTATCTACACTTTGCTGATAAACATATTACTGGAGGTAGCATTTCTTTAATCTTCATCCCCTTACATTCCTGCATCAAACATGAGGAAAATATTTATAATTCCCTGTAAGAAGGGCACAGAAATCAGAAAGTCTTACTCACATAACTGAAATAGAAAAGTAGCTTTGTGAAAGAAGAGCTCAGACAACCACCACCACTGCCAAGGCCAATGAAAGAGTCACTGCGTGAAGAGAGCGCCGCTGCTCAGCACTCGACAGGTCACTCACCCGATTAGGATCGATGCCGTTCACCTGGCGTAGCTGCTCAAGCATCCACTGGGATCTCCGCACGAACGACGTGGAGCCTTCGAACTGTTTGACCTTTGTAATGGATGCCTGTGTGGGTTTCTTGTTTGTCACTGCCAAGAAAAGACCACTCGGGTTAGTGGGTGTGCAGGCTGGTTTGTTTCCTCTGCTAGTAGTGCTTCTATCTCACACCTACATGCATATGCAAAACGAGAGCGAGAGAAGAAAAAATATGCACATAAACATGTATCTCAGGAGAATGAATGTGTGTGCTTTTGGTGAGGGGGTAAACCAAAAGATATAGAGGTTATAATCTCTACTCTCGAGCAGTTACAATACAATTATAATTGTAAGGGCTGCTGCGTCCTTTATGTCTTCATTCATTCCCACCGAATACAACTTAACTGAATAACACCAAGCACCTTTAATGGAGACTGCACATGTACAATAATCAACTGTGGAGAAAGAAGCATACAGGACTGACAGGCACCAGGTAGGGGTCACTGGGAAAGGCTGAATTTTAGAAGTGGAGGTTATTGGCTTCCCTAAGGAAATGCAATGCATATTTCTAATTTTATAGTCTGGTGTAAATATTTCATGTCGCAGTGACAAAGAGTAATACCTCATTTACAAAAAGGGAACAGTTGGCTTTAAAACATAGTCCACTTTGTATCAAGTTGGCATCTGACTAGGACTGTATCTGGCATTCTGGACGCCTCCCCCCACCAATATGAATTCCTGAGGTCACCACACGGGCAGGACCAGGACCTTCTCTCAGCCTTAGTCATGCTGATGATGGAGTGTCACCTCTCAGACAGAAGTCAAGCACCAGACGCCAGCAGGGAGTCACTTGGAATAGTTCTACATCTACTTATCTCATGACAGACATTCGAGGGTGGGGAGGTAATCAAGTGCTCTGAAAGAGCTTTCCCAGAAGCTCCTATGGGCCTTGGCTGTAGGAATCATGAGACTGAACACAAATGACGCTACGACAGGAACTGGGAAGAGTGGAAAATACTACTTGTCATAATGAATGCTATCCTAATAAGACTGCTTCAGCGGCACATGCTTTTTTTGTTCTTGTTTTTCCTCTTTTTTTAAAGTTTTGAATATATGTTTATATTTTTTATTTTTTAGTGTTGTTTAATTACAGTTGTTCCTATACCCCCACTCCTCATTACTCTCCCCCGCCCTACCCACCCCCCACCTCCCACATTCAATCCTGCTCCCCATTGGCTTTGCCCAGGGGTCCTTTCTACATGTGCCCGGACTTGACCCTTCCCTTCCTTTCCCCCGTTATGTCCCTCCCCACTCCCGTCTGGTCACTGTCAGTTTGTTCTTTATTTCCATGAGTCTTTGCTTCAAGTAACCCCACAGATACCACATTTTCGAATAACTATGCAGATACTCAACAGATGGCAAAGAGAAGCCTTGAGGGACGAAGGACAGAAAGCACCTAGTCCCGTCCTGGTTGGTGATAAGAAGACTGTCCTTTCATGCACACCAGAGTTTGCTGCATTCAATGGTCTGGGTCATGAAAGCAGGACCAAGAGCAGAAGGAAATGGGGGTGCCCTGCCTTTAGGTCTGCTGAGGGTCCCTGCAGTTCCAGGACTGAAGACTGCTTTCATGACTTCCGTACAATCTCACCTCTTTGCTCTTAACCAGAATTTAGCACATTTTTTTTTTAAATTTCAAATAATGCTTAGGTTTATTACCCATTATTTCCATCATATTCAGCTAGAAGATTCTGAACATTTCACACCAATTACATTTACTTTCATGGTTAAAAAGTCATCATCCCCTTAACGCCCACAATCAGAGGAAATTTATTGTCTTCTATTCACAAATGGCCTCTCTGGCCTACGCTCCAAGTATAGGCCTGGTAGGTCCCATTAGCAATAACTATTACCAGTCTGCTCAGGATTCTGGCCACACATTTAATTCAATCCATTTATTTTTTGTGTCTGCAACACACAAAGGGAAATCTAGTAGGTTTCTCTGATAGTCATGTCCTGCTCTTGTGTTTTAATGTTAAACAACATATCTGGAATATATGCAGGTCTTAAAATGTGCTTAAAAGATTAAAGAATGCTGTTCAATAACAGGAAAGCATGGGTTCCTGTATTAGACACACCCCTGAAACACAAAGAGGATTTCCTCCGTTGTTTATGTAAATCACCTGACATTTTGGCATCCTGGGAAACATGAACATTTTCTTGTAACTTTAGCTAAAGCTGTCATGAGCCCCTATTTTTACTTCTGGCCCATTTATTTCCAAGTAGTGTACAGCATTATCAAAGCTCAAACACAATGCAAGATCACTGTGGTTACTGGTATGTCCAGCACTGACATCTTAGAAAGGCAAGTTCCATCGGAAGCTCGTCACTGAAATGAGAAGCCCAGGAACCCCACCCGCACAACAGATGCCCCACAGAACTGCTCAACAGCGATCACGCTGCAGAGCAGTCATTTTTAATGGGGGCAATTCCGACTCTATCCATTCCTGCCTTTTCCCTCCTACTGATTTACTCCTTGCCCAGTTCTTGGAATCTGGGTAGTTTTCCTGGGCACCGAGCCTGGTTTAGTTTAATTTCTGTTTATTGTTATTATTTCCACCACCCCAGTTTCTATTTTGAAGCGGGCGCCTTAAAATTACAGTATTATATACACATTATATAGAGTTAAATAAAGACTTCCCCCTCCTGAAGTCAAAACACTTGCACCAATACACCACTGTCAGCCTCTCTGAGTTCTGTGCTTGACAAAGCCACGTTTTAATTCCTTCCTTGGTTAGAGGTTTTCGGTGTCCATGGTTAATAAAGAAAAAGACAAACTCCGGCTATCTGGTGAAAAACAGCAATTTACCACCTTCTTCCCAAGGAAAGCTAGTTGACAGCAGGCCTGGAAAGTGGCACCCGAAGACCTGGATCAGTAGTGCAATAATGCTGAATGTCCAACTACCCCCGACTTGGCCAGAAAGCCAGGGCATTGCCGTCGTGCCTTGAACATTCGTGAGGACAAGCCCTTTAGATGCCTGTGAGGACACAGGCATCTAAAGGGGTGGGATGGGCACGACACTCCCGGGTAACACCTCCCAAACCAGCCTGGTCTCCTGGTTCTCCATTCCAACTGCACCTGGGAATCAACCACCCCGGCATTTTATAATAAATACACTGGACCGTATGAATCATAATCTATGGGGGTGTGGCCCTGACATTCAAATTTTAAATCTCCCAGCTGGTTCTGAGGCACACAGACGGATGAGACCACCAAATCTGTGTATGGACTCATTTAGCAAATATATATGGAACGTCTACTAGATGGAAGACATGAATAAGTTTTGTGGGTAATTTAAAGAGTAAATAAGATGTGGTTCTTATGCATTGGAGAATAATGCAGAAACAGTATTGAAGCATAATAGCATAAATGATCTAGGAGTCACCTGAGTTGCTGGGAAAGGAAGGGACTTTAAGGACCAGGGATGAGTTGGGAAAAATTAGGGAGGTTTCACGAAATGGCCACATTCCAGAAAATACACCATTACTCCTCACCTGGACTTCTACGACCAGCTTGGCCACTCGAACTGAAATGTGGATGGAAGACTGAACCATCTTTTAAAAACTCCTCAATGGCATTCCAAAGCATTCAGAATAAAGTTCAAGCTGTTCTCCATGACTTGCAAAGGCCTAGATGATTTGGTGCCGGGAAGCAGCAACCTCTTTCCACCTTTTGTGAAGGCTGTTCCTATCAGAGAATCGCTCCTTTCTTGTCCCCGCCCCCATGGTTGTCTCCTGTTCAGTGTTCAGCTTTCAGTTCATACGTCAGCTCCATAGGAAAAAAAATTTCTGTGGTCATTTTACTTAAGTAGGTCCCCCTCAGTGTTATTTCTTTCACTTAATTCTGTTCATTTCAAAACTGATTTATTTCCAGCCTGGATGAAATAGTCAACATTTGCTTCTCTGACATGTTGTGAAGAACAAAATCCAGACTTCTATCATGTCCATTTAGTCCAAACATGTTACAGGAGGCTAAATCTGATCTACACTACACCTACCAGCTTATAATGTAGGACAGAGTAAATTGACAGAATAACAAATTTCATTTTTCACGGCATTTAAGACTTGAAAAAATCTCTTTTATACAGCTTCTGCCACAAGAAGCACTGACTTGCCAAAGTAATAATGTTAATGATTGGAAAAACTGCAACTTACACAATGAACTTTTAAAAGTCTACTGCTCTTTCCATTATAGCTTTTTGCTGCATTATCAGATGCCATATTTTATTAGGTGTGGGATACTCATTAAATAAGGGTTAATTGAATCATTTTGTTCTAATAATGATACTACCATTGTGATTCTGACAATATCTTGAACTGTTATTTCCTTAATATTTCCCTTTAAGTAAACTTGCTTTTTCATTTAAACAAGTTTGACGAAAAAAAAAATACATGCTAAGGTCTTAAATAGATGCAGCTCTGCCTACATTAAGTAAAAAATAATATAAAAATATAATTGAAACATTAAAAAGTTAAAAATATAACCAAAACATAAATGCTGTTAATTTCAAATTAGAAGTTGGCAGTGGAGGGCGTGGCATCTGACGTTGGCTCTAGGGTGAGACGGTGATTAGCCAGTGTGGACGGGTGTTACAAACTATGACAGGACAGATGTGCTCCTAGACATAATCACAAAGCTTAACGAGGAATGGCTTCTCTAAGACTACTGAGTGATAAGCATTGGAGCTCACTCAGTTAAGTCAAGTTGTGAGGTTATCCAAACCTAACGCTGTTTTTCCCCTCACTCCCACTCCTGGAACCCACTGCTCTCTCCACAGTGGGACCTGAGGAAGGCAGAAGCATGTGGGCCAACCAAATCCCGGCCCTTCTGCTACCAGTTCTGACAAAAAGAATGTGGTTTCCATGGCTGCACGACTCCTCTTCAGCCTTCACGTAGACTTGATCTACACCTCTGCTGAAGTTAAGCGTGATAGGATCTATTAGGTCTGGACTATCATTACTCGGGTTGTATAAACATCTCTATGACATGAACTAATGGCCTAGTGAGGTCTTTTAAAAGATGGTCCCTCCAGAAAACATTGTTCAGAAATATAAG